ATCTTGATTCTATACCCTTCAATCTTTTAGTGATGGAGGCAACTTTTGTGTTCTTTATTTGTGCTGTTGGATGATGATGATAAATTCCTTGGATTTAAGAATGCCTATTTGCAACAATAGCTTTTCGCTTCTCATCAACATACAAACCTTCAGAATCATGAAACGTGACACTTTTTCTTGTAAACTGCTACTGATATCTCCACGTCTTTTTTATCCTTGTCTTCTTTCGAAAGCATTATACACTTGGCGTGAAATCTTAAACATAACTTCATAACCTCTTCGGAAAATGTCATTGCTAGCGGCAAGGATTATTCAGACCATTGATGTGTATGTCGAGTTTGATTGCTTGGTGAACTACTAACTAATAGATAATATGAGAGGGATATAATTAATTCATTGAAATATTATCATTAATGATTGACTACTTGCAGCAAAAAATCTACTTTAATTTTGGCACCTCGCCAGTGACTGTTTCATTAGTTTTTTATGGCGATTTTTACCAATCTGATCATGAATAGAATCGATGACATTATATTTAGATGCAAGCTAGTTGTTTTTTATGTTTGGGTCTTTATTTTTTTCAATGCATATTTCTATTTTTTATGAGATTGTTATAGGCATATGTTTTCTTTTTGATACCTCGACTTCTTTTTCAGTAGATTTTTTTTCCTCTTGTTTGCACTAGAGGAAAACCTACCCTGGTAATTTTTGTACACATGTATTCTATAACTTGTATATTATTATTATTGGCCAATTTTTATTTCACTTCGTTTTATAAAAATTAATCTTTGGTTTATAAAAATTCGAATTAACGGGGCAATTTTACATATAAATGGCTTCAAAAAATTTAAAAATTTCTTTGGTTTATGGTTTATAAAGTTTCATTATTGACATTCATATTAACGGGGTGGTGTTTTAAAAATTATTCATTTAACGGGATTTTCGGATTAACAGGGTTCGGACTAATGGGTTGGCTACGTATACACTAATGCCCATAATTATCATGTAAAAATTGTCTTACCTGATTTGGATACAACTTATAATAAAAAAGCTTATGCTATATCTAAAATAGTCATTGAACTTTATCAGCAAAAAACTTACCAAAATCAGATGTTGCTTCAAATTATGATAATCAAATGCCGTATTTTCTCTATGAAATTTTTAATAAAATGATAAAAATTAAATACTGAATTTTCTTGGAAGTTTGATATAAACGTGACAAAATAATAAAATTTAGATTTTTACCAAAATTTCAGGGAAAATCAAGATTTATATGAACAAAAAATTTAATGTGGAAATAAATATATATACACGAGAGTTTATTCCTATATTACCACTACCACTACCACTACCACTGTCATCTTATTCTTGTTCTACTGCTGTTGTTACTGCTACTGCTACTGCCACTGCTAATGCTACTACCGCTTTTAATTTGCCATTATTATATTTGATGCCATTACATTAGAGAGAGAAAGTTAAATCAAAAAAATTTGCATAAATGTTCTATTTATGAATTGATTATAAGTAATAATATTTATTAAATATTTGTCAGTATATCCATGTCCATTCATCATTAATAAAAACAAGTATTGATAGATAGATATGAATAAGAACGTTATATATACCTGGAGTCTTTCTTAAATTTGTAATATAAACAATAGCCTTTATTCATAATAGAGTAAGAAATTACTTACCTGTAATTAAATTGTATATAAAAATAGTTTAATAATTCCATAAAGAATACCTCTTTAAGTATTGATGTATTAGAGATGCCACATGTTTAAGCAACAATCTATGCTTGATTTTACATCTAATGTTAGAGTCTCATCTACGATTGTATTGGAAGAAAGTTTTTTTTTTAATAAAGCGAAGTTACTATTTAAATTCCTTTGCTTCTAATAGAAATTCGTGAAAATTATTTCATTGAATATTATTATGTATATAATTTTTTAAAACTCATGCTAGAAATTTCCCAAAAATCGTTATGGAGTTATTAAAAAGTTAAAATATTCATTACACGATCCAATGTCAGTTTTTTTATAGTTCTAATGTGAACAATAATAATTTTATTAACATGATTATCCAACTAATCTATTAGCTAATCTAACAATTAATATAATAACGATAACAGTAAAATAGCCATATCTATGGTAGTTTCTTAAGAAGCGGACTAAAGGCATTAATTAATTAGTATTAAAGAAATTTAACTTAAGACTAATTCTACTAATACTATTACATATATTATTATTACACGAAATTAAATTAATATTAATTCTAATTCTAATTCTAATTCCAATTCTAATTCTAATTCCAATTCCAATTCCAATTCTAATCCCAATTCTAATTCTAATTCCAATTCTAATTCTAATACTAACTTTAATTCTAATACTAATACTAATACTAACTTTAATTCTAATCCTAATACTAAATATACTATATTTTTATTTTTAAAATAACTACTGTCACTAAATTTAAATTTAGTCCACTTCACTACCAAACCTTCATCCAGTCTGTACCGTAAGTCTTCTGCCTTCCACACCAAGTAAGTAAAAGAGCTATTGAAAGAAGAAGAAAATGAAATGACAACAAAAATGATAAAGGAGAGGACAATAATGATAAAGGAGAGAATAATAATGAATAAGATAGGATTGATAGTGTTATAACAACGGGTATAACAATATACAATACAAATCAGCAAAGTATCAATAAATTGATAAGTTTTTAATGATCAAAGATAATTAATTACCACAAACTATCTGGATAAAATCACAAACACCAAAACTGCCTTTCCTCATCACTTAGCACTTTGTCTTTGTACTTCCTCTCTAATTAAGAATTTTTCTTATGGCTGTTTTTGAGATTAATGTGCGCCCACACAAATTAAAAGTCGTCCTAACTTCAAAATAAAGGAATATAATGATTAACACTATGTTACAATAAATTGATCAATTATTGTTAAATAAATAATATATTTGATTGATTATTTACCTGACACTTACAAAAGACTAGCATAAACCTCAACAAAGGAAAATAAAAAGCGGTTGGGAAGATGAGAAATCACGAGGATGAAAGTGGAAATTAAAGTGGCAATGGAAGTGGTGATGGAAAAAAGAGAAAGAGTGTGGATGTGGATGTGGATGTGAAGATGGATGTGAAATGGAGATGGGGATGAAAATGAAAGTGGAGATGGGGATGAAAATGAAAGTGGAGATGGGGATGAAAATGAATGAAGATGAAGATAAAAGTGTGTGATAAAATAGAGATGGAGTGGAGATGAAGGTGAAGGTGAAAATGTGTGATAAAATGGAGATGGAGGTGATGAAAGTGTATAAAGTGATATAAAACCGCCTAACAAAATATGTAAATTAGGTTACAATTAATTTCAATATCAAGAGCAAATTATCATTTGATTTCTTCAATTGAGAGGTATACACATACTTTTTATTTTCTGACAACATGCACAAACCAAATCCACTATTTCCAGATAGTATAACTCCATCTGTAATTAGTTAATAATGATAATATTATTATATGTTAATATACTAATTTCAAAAATATTAATTTATTAATAGAACCCATATTTGTTACTAATTTTATACTTACTGCCATTTGGGATAAATAAATGTCTGACCCTTTTATTCTATGGGTAAAGTTTGGTGATGCCTCGCAATAAAACCTCTGGAAGAGGAAGCTGTTTACAGCTTTGTTGGAGACAAATTGAGGAAGTGTAAGTGCTGAGAAAATTTACTTAAGGGCTGAACGCGCGGAAAACAGTTCTTGGCAATAGAGTTGCTCTTTCATTTTACATGACCTTTTATGAAAAATAAGAAAACAAATAAATAATAATAAAATAAAACAGATTTTCTCAATATTTATATATATATATATATTTCTTACAGAATCACCAGAAATGAGTGAAATATTGTTTATCATAACAATAATAAATGATGGAAGGTCTTGCCGTCGAGAGTCTTGAAGTTTCTTGCTGTTGAAAGTGGTCCTAGAGTTTCTTGTTGTGAGAGAAAAACAATAATATTGTTATTTATTATTAATCATAAAATAGGGGTAAAAAGTAAACAATACATTTTTAATAAATCGCCAAGAAAATCATCATTTTTACATCATTAATGATTTAATAATTTTCGCGTTTTTCAAACAAAGAAAACCATTAAGATCCTACCTAACATCTTATTGGCTAATTGATAATAAATATCTTTAATATCTTTAATAAAGCAAGATTTTTGTATTTTTGGTAATGATATTCGTATCCTTACTATCAACTTTACTCTTGGCGTTTTTGGGATCTAAAGCTTCCGGGTCCCCTCTCATTCTTTAGATAAAAACGCGTTATTTATTTGGTATTAAAATAGGATAAGAGAGGGATCCATCATTTTTGGATGACACTTTTTTTTCCAATGAAAATTTATTGAGTCACAAAATATATTATATACTAATAAAGTGGAGGAAGGGGATGGCAAAATTTTGGGCGGGAAATTGTCACGTGAAAGTATATTTTATAAGAGTGTGGTTTGGTCCATACTAATACTGATTTAATTTCGGGAGTCGAAATGGTCATATCACATGATTTATTATAATTAATAATTTCAAAATTATTTATCTTGAGAACCAGTGATCCAAATTTAATAAAACACAGCTCATTAGAATGGTCTCATAAAGACAATTCGAATAATGGTCCACAGCATCAATAAATGGCGAGTTATTGTAAGATTATGGTAAACCAAAATATCTCAATGATCAGTGGTTCTAATTACATCTCATTAGACTTGCCTCATTTAGAGAATCCGAATGATAGTTGTTTTATTCAAAATAGCCAGATATTGACCAAGTTATGAGGATTTGAAGCTTTGATTAATTTTCTGTATGTTCAGCTTGTTGTATGATGTAATTTCAACCATTTCGACTACTTTGATCTCCCAGGTCGAAATATTTCGACTTTTGTAGTTTGGGTTTCAATTTCGACTTCATGTATAGTTTGATCATCACTCTGGTAAAAAATGGGTGTTGTATTAAAAAGATTATATAATTCTCGTGATAAAATTTTATACATTTTAAAAGAGGTAAATAAAAAAAAAAGCTTAATATTAATGTTGATTAATTATCTCTTTAAACGAAATTCCGTTGTAGACGTGAATATAAATTTGAAATTTGAAATTTGCTTTCATAAATCAAAAAGTTACAAAATAATTGTAAAAAACGTTAATTCGTGGTCCGTTGATCAACGATAGTAATAGAAACTCACTAAAATTTAAAAAGTGACAAAAGTTGCATATTATAAAATTTTGTACTTTCGTTATGCAAAGTCACACGAAATCATGCAAGATTTGTAGATAAGAACTTGGTTTTGGGCCGCTGTGGATTCCACGTAAAATACATATATGAATTTTATGAAAAAATTAATAGAATTGCAACATTACAAAAAAAAAAATGTAGCTAGTTTTAATAGTAATTCTCAACTATGTTTATGAATAAATAATGAATTTTATTATTTTAAATTCAAAAAAACTTATTACGAATTATTCATTGTTGTTAATTCAGTCTTGTATGTTGCAGAATAACAAGTTATCCAACTTTGTATAGCATTCATTACCTGTATAAAAAAAACCTTGCAAAATGGTAATTATTTTTTAGAAAATTTTGTCCCGCCTTCATCCTTTTTCAAATCGTCTATAGAAATTATTTAAAATTATTTCAATAAGTTTTTTTTATTGGGTTAATAAGGAAAAATAAATACAATAGCTGATATATCCAGTAGCTTTCAGAAGGTCAATATGCTAGATCTTTATTTAACATGGGTAAAAGATTTTCTCCAGAACAAATTCAAAAAATTATCAAAAGCAAAAGCAACTAAACCTCATCCGCAAACTTTTATTCATGTAACTTTTTACAATATACAGTATATACTTTTACTATTTAGGGAAATTGTTTTCCGATTCAAATTGGCAATACAATGTAAATCAAAAAGTCTATAATGATCATTATTATTATTATATTTCTAAAAATCTGAAAACGGGGTTTTTTTAATTTATACCAATATTATTATTAAAGAATTTTTAATTTAAAATATATTTTTTGATATCCCGGATCTGCATAACAAATTTCTATCATTGATCGCCGGACCACCAATTAAGAATGCTGAAATTACCCGGGAATGTTATATAGATAAACCTGTTGAGTTCAATAATCCAACTTATACCTATCTTAATTTAATTGTTGATCGTGCATTTACTGATCCAAATACAGAAAAAAATTACATTGCATTTGGAGTGACAGTTACATTAAATTATCTAGATCCTTCAAAAGACATCAATTTGGTTCAAAACGAAGTTGTGGAGCGAATAATCCATTTCTTGAAATGATGCAAGTTGCGGAACAAGAAGAACGATATACTTAGAATATATATAAATACAAAATATTATATAGTATTTTATAATTAGTGTATAATTTGTATTAACATTTATAATGTAAAAGTCATAATAAATTTATTTGCTTTATTTGTTCTTAAATATATATTATAAAATCAATACTTTTAAAAAGAAATATACACTCACCTGCCAAAAGTATCCGGACAAAATGTAGATCATGTAAATTTCCGTGACATTTCTGGGTGTTTTACACAAAAATACTCGAAAACTAGCGAGAAAACGTGGCTTTTTGTCCTAAGTAACTGCACTTCAAATGTTCGAAATTGCATACTTCCATTAATATTTATAATCTAATAAAATATAGTTTTTGGGTGATATGTAAATTCTTAAAATCGTTTAAAAATGTTGGTTCCCAAGACTTTTTTTTGTCCCATAAAATATCCCACATAATAATAAAAAGTCTGAAAACTCCATAAAAGAATTTAAAATATAATGAACAAAATAAAAAAAAGATGATTAAAATTCGTCAGAAATTGATAGAGTTGCATGTATTGAGAAAATTTCCGAAAATTTTTCAAAAATCAAAA